CAAACAAACAAACAAACAAACAAACAAACAAACTCTTCAGCTTTATAATATTAGTATAGATATGATATTCCAATTTATATGAACAATTTTCTTGCAGTATTTAATTAAGTGCTTGTTTGTTTCAGATCTGAACGAGAATCTTTGCCTTTTAACTACGGCTATTCTTTCAACTGGTGGTGGCATATTCCGATTTTGACACAAAAATATATGAGGAACAACTCCTTTATTTAACCGTAGATTACATTTTTTCCTTTCTTTTTCATTATGTTAAGTCCATCGTGTAATGTAACACGACTTCTAAGTGTGAACGGCACTACGAGCATTACTGTCGGTTTTTTGCGCGAACACAAAGGCGCTCGCAGTGCCTCGCAGTGCTCGTTTGGACTGCGTTCGTGACGGTTGTGTCGTGTGGCCGTTCATGATGTGGAGTGACTAACAATCGCCTGAACTTATTAGTTTGTATCAAGAAAAAGCTGTTATTTGGGATCCAAAAAATCCGGATTACTTTCAAAAAAATCTGAAATACGATTCTTGGAGTGATATTGCTCATACATTGGGAAGAATGCAAGAATAAATAGTTTGCTTAAATTCAATTATTTCTATTGCCTTACATCATACATACTTTAATTTACATAAAATTACATTATAATACATTTAATTATTAAGGTAGGTATATTTATTTACGATACAGAATTTGAAAATTACATTAATTTAATATTATTTATTTAAAACTGAAACGCATAAAAGTGCATGGTTTGCTTACGAGGCGATGACATTTCAGTATATCTCCGCCAACTACCTTCACATAATCTTCCGTTTTGGTCGCTGTCAAGTGATCGCTGTCAGGTAGTGCATACAAGTTTTTAGATGCAGCCGTGTTTCTCAAAAAATGATGCAAAGGTGCAATAGCCATGACTATAATCTCCACGACTTCGGGCTGAAGAGCATAGGTTTTCGTAAAGCTCTGAACACAGATGCTGTGATATCAAATACGCTTTCTACAATCCTGCAAGCTTTACTTAGCCGGCAAAAAAAAAATCGCGGTGATCCCTTGGGGTATTCCCCTGGTTTCATTACATTGTTTTGTAAAGGCAAGGCAGAGTCTCCTATAAAAACATATGGTACTACGTTATTTCTACCTTGCAGTGCTTCAGATGCAGGTTATCTTAACGAATTATTTTCTAGTTTTTTATATAATTTAGTTTCCTTAAAAATTCCAACATCTAAAATTTGGCCTTGACATTCGACATGGATAAATTTATCATTATATTTCGAGTCTACTAAAGCAAACATCACTATACTGAAATTCGATTTGTAGTTACGATATTCTGTGCCGCTATGTATCGGCGCCTCAAGAATCACATGTTTGCCGTCCATGGCTCCGGCACAATGATAAAAATTCCACAATTCATCAAATCTCTTTGAAATCTGGATCCATTCTGACTCTGTTTTATGCAGCTGAAACAATGAATTTCCTTTTTATTGCAGATTACAAATGAACCGAAACAGAGAGCATCTACAAGTGTAGAAAATGATAACAGTTCAGAATTTATATAACCGTACATACTACATAATTTGAAGATACTATGTGGATGAATTGATTTAACTTTCTAATTTTAATTATAGAATAATCTAATACATAATTAAAATACCTTATTTTGTTTTTTAATAAATAAATAAAAATATGTAAAACTCACCTTAATGTTTTCTTTCAGTGCTTTTATAATCGCTTCACAGACTTCCGGTACAATGCAAGAGATTGACTGTTTTGAAATTCTGAAGGTGTATTGAAGGCTTGTATATGAATCTCCTGTTGCCGAAAATCTTAGTGTTAGAGCTAGTCTATCTTGCGGCGAAATTGCAGATCTCATTGTAGTATCTTGTCTTGATATTTTAGGCGCAATGATTGTTAACAAATATTCAAAATCAGTAGGCGACATCCAGGTTAAAGTTTTTATATTGGCCACTTATTTGCTGAGATTTTAGTTAAACGAGTAAAGTAGATCTTCTTTTATACAATTTAGTTTTCCACCATCGACGCTCTATACCCGGCTCTATATTCAATATAATTAACTGTATCTTCCTTAATATGAAATCAATCATCAAAATTTCATGAAACCGCAGTATGAATAAGCAAGCTTTAGATACATATTTTAATGAACAAGCAAGCTTTAGATACATATTTTAATGAACTTTTGTAAACTAGATTGGCTTAGTTTTAGATGCTATCTCCTAATAGCTAATTTACACTAAGCTGTACATAAATATAGCATACTTACGTTAAAATGATCTTCACAACAAAATACAACTGATAATGGAGATACTTTATCCCTTCTCATCATCTTACACCATTTTCGCATCGCGTGGAATACGAAAAAACACTTTATTGGGGGCACTAATAATAGTGTTTTTGCAAAAACCATACAATACTTGTGAGAAGGTTTTTTAACTTCTTCCATGATTTGTATAGCAACTAAAAATAAGTATGAAGTAACTGAAACGCTATTGTAAACAAACACGGGACACAACCAATGACGTCATCAAAAGCGCGCGCTAAATGGCGGCGTTTAAACGGCTCAAATTTATTGAATGTTTTAAAATTATTTGACTATTATCAAGACTATTTATATATTTTTCTATGTTATAAAGATGTAAATGATTAACTTAAGAAATAAAAAAACATGCATATTCCCTTACACCTTGTTAGTAGAGAGAAATCCGCTTCCGTGTGTTCGATTGATCTTGGATACTTAACTATTTTGTTATTATACCAAATTCAATGCAAAATCCGTGAAAAAGCTTTAAGCTTTAAACTAATATATTTTAATGTAAATGTAAAGAAAAGATTTGATATCACTAAACACATTTTTGCATTTCAACTTTAAGATTTAAAAACAATCAGGTACCTATAACTATATACCGAATAACTAATTTTGTGTTACAAATATACATAGTCCTCATATTTACGCATTAACCACAATAAAACTTCTAATTAAAACAATAAAATCTCTGAAACGTCTGCGGTAGTTTAATTGTACGAGATTTCGTACAATTAAACTACCGCACTAACTTTTGGGTTTACGGCGTTATTTAATTATAATACAAGGAGCGACAGCAGTTTGCTGCACCACCAATTGAACGATTCCTATTTCGCTTTGAATTTATTGTGATCGAGTCGGAGAGTTGTTCTGATATTTTTTTATAGTGCAAGGGGCAAACAAGCCGACGGGTCACCTGATGGTAAGTAACTACCGCCGTCCATGAACACCTGCTACGCCACTCGGTGAAAAGCAACGAAGGAGGCCGTGATGTTACTCCGGTGGAGCCGGCCCATTTGTGCTTCGGCATGGCTCTGCCAGGTTCAATTTCTCAGAGTCAAAAGTTCGACCATAATCTGCTAACTAATTTAACATGATTGGCATGAATGAATTACCAGATACTTTCAAAACACTACTTGCCTCGCACAACCATTCCGTGTAACAAAGAACAATGGCGGGTCTCTTTACAAAAAAATATTTGGAATCCGTCTTGTAGTGAAAAAAATTTAAAAAATTTTTTTTAGAATCTACGTAAAAAACAATTTTTATTTGGAAAAGGGTAGAAAAAAAGATATTAGCATTTGATTTTTTCAGTTACGCACTGCATCTGTGGACTGTCTTTAAAAGAGTCCATAGATGAAGTCTTTTATAACATAGCTACTTAATGTTTAATTTATTTTATTAATTTGTCTATGGCTATCGACTTTACATTACTATTTGATAATTATAACTGTATATGTGCCATTTAAATAAAAAAAAGATAATAAAGAATTATTATAGTCCACTGTAGAACTTTCGTAGGTTATATTTTTATGTCACTTTTAATGTGTCTGATGCATTGATATAATACTTATTTAACTCAATGGTCTGATGCATGAAATAATCATCTTATACATAAGTATACTTATTTAATTGGAGTATAATTGGATATAATGACTTAATATTAATTACATAAGTATAATTGGATATTATATATGCGAATGTACATAAGTACATCCGCATATATAATATCCAATAAGTATATTCATGTTCCTTAATTTATTACCTATTTCAACATGCAATGAATTGTAAATTCAAAACCTAAACTAATATAATCGGCGGCGGTCATTCGTGTCAGACGTTTAGTCTTTATTTTTAAACACAGAGCGCAAACATCTGTAAAGAGTTGTCAAAAAACCATTGCTTTTTTTTCAGCTTGCAGTTGCCACTTTATTTTTTTTTACTTCCTTATATTTCACTGCAGGATTTTCAAATTCGTAAACAATGCGTTTAATAATGCACCACAAACTATATTATTTATTGATTCAGTACTTAGAATTATAAAACTATTATCTGATTACCATATTACTATTAAGTGATTACCATATTATGATACTTTTTTGGACAGTATTTCCACTACATGAAAAATATGGCTATAAAATGGTAACACTAAACTGATAAAGGAAATTAAAACAATCAAAAAAGCTTATAACATTTTTCTTTCTTTTCCTGGGGTATTACTGACTTAGGTAATAGTTTCAAAAAACGTAGATATTTACTAGAATTAGTTTCCTGTGAATGACATTTTAAGACGCTCAAATTATACTCAACTACGAATTCGCCATTGTTCTTTCTGCGGTATTTCCGGACCGATACGACATTCAAGAAAAGGGCCTTTCTAAAAGGCGCTTGTGACTCCTGAGTTGCAGGCGTTCATGGGCGGCGGTAGCCATTTAAATTAGGTGACCCGTCTGCTCGTTTACCCCTTCTCCCATAAAAAAAAAATAGAACAAAAAAACTGATGAAACCTCTGATCGAGACAGAATTGGTAATTTGATTATGTGCTTTCTAAGTCCTATATTTATGGTACAATACATACATAATATCTTTACAGTTTTATATAACATTCATTATGTTAACAAAACTTATTTACGAAGGACTTACTTTTTAATGAGCCAAATTACGTAACAAGTACTCTTAGCACTAACCAGCAAATGTTGCTGCTCCCTGCTGAAGACTCTGTAAAAACCCGCGCGCGCACTGGAACTTTGCAGCCACATCAGCTAAAGGAACTTCATTTACTAAGTCCTGCAGAGCTAAAGCTGTGTAAAACCTTAAAAAGTAGGGTCATGGTTACTTAAGTTGGATTTCATACAATAAGTATTACAAATAAGTTGATGTTGGTACCTCTTATGAATATTTATTTTAGCCTGAATATTATTGGCCTTATTATTTCCTCTCAAACATCGTATTATGAAGCTCTCTTGAACTCCTATTAATTCCCCCACTCTTTTCATTGCTTTAGTCAAGGACTCCCATAGAGTCAGCAAATGCAACCAGTCCATATTGCCCCACTGGCTACTCACACTGTATGGGGTAACCAAATAAATTAGATGCAAATCAGTTTCAAGCACCAAACATTGGCGAGCTCTCTGCAACTCGCAAAACAATGATAATCCATCATTAGGTGCCATGGATGATGCAAGGCAGGCTTTTCCCAAAGGTGTAGCTACATAGTGTTCTTCTTCGCCTTCTGTTTGAATTCTTACCAACTCATAGTTTTTCAATTCATCTAAAGTGTTCTCCAAAAGAAAATTCGTGGGTTGGGCATCTTGCTGATTATACAGCAAAGTACATTTTGAATACAAATCTAACTGTTCCTTTGTAGACAAAACTTGACTTGCTATCATTTCTAGAACTGCTCTCATGTATTTGTCTTCACTCTCAATACAGCTCTTGACAGGAGCAAGAGAACCCATCATTAATTCAAACCCAACCTTTTTCTCTGCCTCAGAGCAAATAATAATACTCTCACCTTTTAGGTCTTTACCCATTCTTCCTGCTCGACCGATCATTTGTTTATAAGTTAAAATATTTATGGGTTGTCTTTGAAATACAGGTGACCTTATAATTACCTTTCTTGCTGGTAGATTAACTCCAGAGCTTAATGTAGAGGTAGCTACTAATACTCTTATCGCCCCAGATTTAAAGCCACCTTCAACAATATCCCTTTCATCAAATGTGAGGCCAGCATGGTGATAAGCAACTCCAAATGATATTGTTTTCTTTAGGACTTGATCCAAGCCAACAGGACAATTTCTCATCTGTTCTAATACCTCCGATATTGCCTCTGATTTCAATTGTGATCTTAAAATAGATCCAGCCTCAGTCTCTTCACAACCTAACTTGTAAAATGACTGTGCTACAGACTGCGCTAAACTTTCACACCAGTTCTTGGTCATACAAAAAATTAATATTGAACATCTGTCTTTAATGGTATTCAAACAAATGTTCAACACACTATCACCTTCTACAGTAAGTGCTGTATCTAGATTTTCAATACATTTTCCTTCTTTATTGTAGTATTTACTACCAACCAGACAATACTCTTCTAGAGGAATTGGTCTGAAATCTGTTATAAACAACTCTGCATTTAACCAACTGGCAAGTATTTCTAAGTTGGGTAAAGTAGCTGACATTCCTACTATTTGTATTTGTATATCATCTGACTTAGATGACACATACTTAACTTTAGTGAGCAGAAGCTCTAAAATATATCCTCGGCTAGGATCACCCAGTAAGTGCAATTCATCCACAATTACTGCTCCTAACTCTGCTATAGAACCTTCATCAAGGAGCTTGTTAATTAGACTATTAGCTTTTTCTATTGTGCAAATAGCAACATGTACAGCCTGTAGCCCTCCTGGTGGTGATTGAGATCCCATAAATCCTTCTACCCGTATCCCAGAGGTAGACAGTATATCTTGAAAATAAAACATCTTTTCTCTCACTATTGACACAAACGGTAGTATAATAATAACTTTTTTTTGACGCTCTAAAATGGTTTTGATAGTTAATATTTCCGCAACTAAAGTTTTGCCTGCTGATGTTGGAGCTGAGTATACTAAATTGCAGCATTCAAATAACACCTTGGGGTTTCTTAAACAATTGACTTGCCATTCAAACATCTCTGTAATTCCTCTTTCTTCATATTTTCTAGTTATTTCTGGGGGCAGACCCCAGTCCTTCAATCTTCTATTTTCAGTTAAAGATGTATTAGGTTCAGGTACATGTTGCGTAGGGTCTACTAACTGTAATGTAGTATTTTGTGAACCAATACTCACTGTCTTTCGTATCTTTCGACTATTTTTCTCTACAATATAATTTTGATCTGCAGTGTGTTCTTTGACAACTTGCAAAGATTGAAATACAAAAGAATTATCAAAACAGTTATCTAAAAAACTAATATTTTCGGCTATAAATTGGGAGTCTATCACCTCATTGTCGGCAAGAGCCATAATTCTTTATATTAAACTACATTAACAATAACACGTTCTGCTTAATGAAAAGTAAATCAAACGTAACAGCCAAAATTCATTCATCTTGAAATGACAATTGACATTTGACATTGAATTGTAAACAGTGGTGTTGAGATATAACGTAGTGTTTCCATTCTTAATAAGAAATACGTGATTATATATAGGGAACTATTTTTTTTTACTTTTCGATTCCAAACTCTCAGTATAATTATATTCTCCATCCAAAGTAATGACCACGTGAATCACTACCAAGTGGTGGTCAAACTCTAGCTTTTCATATAATCAAAGAACAAACACTGAAATTATAGCTATATTTTAAATTTTAGGGGAATACTAGTAATTTCGGTTGCTAGTAAACCTTTAAAAACCTTATGTATACATAAAATATTTTTTAATCTCTATAATTATGTATTTACTCAAAATGTACCCTCTTATTTGTTTTCAATAACAAATGGTGTTACATCTTTTTTCTTTAGTTTTCTATCTTAATCCATATAATTCTTCAGTACCATAGAGCAACATGGTAGGTGGCAACCCTGCCAAAGTATGAGTCCACACGGTCATATGCGTACAAGAAAACTAGTTGCGGCCGAACCGCTAACTAGACTAAATGTAGTTGCGTTACTGAGTAGACGATAGTAGCTGTCCTATAAAAATTCCTAAGTGTTCAGACTTTTGCTTGAAAAAGAGATCTGCCTCGTCAAGTTTACAAAAAGATAGCGTTACCTTTCATATGTCAAGTAATTTTAAATCAAATGATTACCATTTAATCATTTTTTAACTTAAAATTCACGAAAATAACATTTGAATTGTTTTGGATTTGTTGAAGTTGAGGAAAGTACCATCATTTGCACTAGTTCTACAAAGACAAGGGCCTCGCAGAGATCTAACCGCCCGGTGCCCCGCAACTACTCACACATTGTTGCCAATAAGATGTTTTCAAACGATGCATAAAGACCCTTGTTTTATTAAGACAACTACAAAATTCATACCTGGAACGGATTGCACTAGACACGACTTAAGTTCACGAGTCACGACTGAACAACTACCAGACAGAACACATAAGGATCTAGCCCCCCCGGGCCTCGCAATGGCTAAGGCCGCCACTGAATGTTACACAGTGAACTCTCCCTTCGCAATTTTAAGGTTTCTTCACGGTTAAAAATTTCAAGTCTTATTAGGACCTAAAAAATATGAAATTATATAGTAGACAGTATAATACAGTAACTTTAAAAAAAGTATCACCGACTTCAAATGCGCTTAATGTAATAAACTGCGCATGAATTGTAATAAACTGAATACAGTTTATTACAATTCATTCTTATAAGCGGAATATATAATAAAATGAGGAATACCTGATTCCTAAATAGTCTACCATTGGGGGCAATATTTTATTTCAAATTTGAATAGCACTAAACGGGAAGAGTACCCTCCAATTACTTACGGAGTTCTAGGGTAACATGGTCCGGGTCCTCCCCAGAGTAGGACACCTGAGGCCGACCGTCGAGGTGGTTTTTTGTGGAATCACCACATACTCCTGGCTCCTGAGTCCCCGAGGAGCAGGAGATCCGAAGGGATTTTCAACCCCGTCAACAACAAAAAAAAAGGAAAAAAAGGGTAACAAACAAAAAAAGAACAAGTAAGTACAAGATGCCTAGTTTTGACGTGGTTGTCCAGTGCTATTTTTTGTGACGCATTCTGGACTGCACTCGTTATTCCTTTAAAATCCCTTACGGTACTGATAACCGTTTTAAACCACGAAAGCCGGAGGATATACGGTGACATAACTGTTGGGCACTTCCTAGAAATGTTGAAGTAGGCAATTCAGTTTCTTGAATAGCAATGTTATTTGTCTGAAGTTTTCCAGTCAGTTTTTAAATCACAGTCGGAGCTTCTGTCAGTTTTTTTTTTTTAATACCTTTTTTTTATAATATTACGTTAATATAATTGAGCCATGAGCATTGTGTTTATCATTTTACTAAAAGGCGAGCCATGTGGAAGTTATAATTTTAGTATTGTTTAATACCTTTGTTTAGAAGATCGTAGCGGAATAGCAAGTTCTTTTCCATTCCCTGGAGGATTGAAAATAGGGGATTCTAGTGGAACACGTGCTTGTTTCTTGTGTTGCTCATGAGGTGTTTATGAGTGGCTAGTTTATGGGTTGGCTTGGGAAACACGCCGATGCATTTATGCAATGGTCACCAAAAGGATTAATGTTGCAAATAATGTCTTAAGTAGGTTACGCATTTACTTGTCACTTTAACTGGTTAACCTACCTTCCTTTAAATCAATGTATCTCCATGCCAAATTTCATTAAAATCGATTTAGCCATGAAAGCGTAACGGACATACAGAGTTTTAATGTACCTTCACATTTATAATATTAGTAGGAATTATCAATTAAGAACATAAATACTGTTAACAATCTCATTTATTATTGTAAATAAAAACTCAACAGTGATTTTAACAATTGTGTATACATGAGGCAGTTGGGCAAACAAACAAGGAATTCTGTCTTATATCATAAAACAAATGTCAAGATTTGAAAAGGCTTAGACTTTGTTTTACAACGGATTGAAGAATTGATATTACGGTAATCACCATCACCAGGTTTAGATATTTTATACTAGAGATTTAAAAGGTATCATAACGTGATTTTAGTAGCTGTAGGTTCTTTACCTTCAGTTAGAGCTCTTGATTCGTGGATAAATGCCGCATATGTTATACCCTAAAACAAAAAAGGTTTAGAAAATTAGCTAGTATTGAAAGATGTTAATAATTTCAGGCATTGCCAACGAGTAAAAATAAAGACTTAAGTTTTTAATACATGTAAAGGTAAACTCAAACTCAAACTTTCTTTATTTCATAAAATTTTCAAAATTGTTTGAAATCGTCTTCCATGTAGACTCTAAAGTCATAGATCAACACACACAAAAGCAACAATCTCTGTTTTGTCAAATAGTAACCAAATAAATTTTACAAAATCAAACCCATACAAAATCTATGATATGCCTGTGCCGATCTACAACCGCCCGTTTCCAAGGGGTTGAGCCTTATGAGAAGAAAGGGCAAACAAACTCATGGCCACTCTTTTGCAATTCACAAGTAGATACAATGGCACTATTAAATATATCACAACATTGTTTTGATGTGTGCTAGTATGTCCGTTATTAAGGACTTAAAGGTGAAAAAACAACGAAGAGAAAACAAGATTAAGAAGAACAAACGAATACAAGAGAAAATGAAGTGAAAACATAAAAAATAGAAAAAATAATAAAAAACATACTAGCCACACCACATTTTTACTTAAGAAAGAAATAGCCTGCGCTAATTAATCCCAAGCATTCTTGTCCTCCATGTAATCCACAATCGAGTAGTAGGCCCTCTGGCACAAGCCACGTTTTATTGCGGATTTAAATTTGTTAATACTCAACTCCTGAATATTATTTGGGATTTTATTATAAAATCGGACACATTGACCTCGAAAAGACTTGTTTATCTTTTGGAGCCTAGAGGCGGGTACAACAAATTTATTTTTATTTCTGGTATTTATGGCATGTACATCACTTTTTTTCAAAAAGCTATCTTTATTTTTGTGAACATATATTACATTTTCATAAATATATTGACTTGCCACTGTCATTATATTTATTTCTTTAAATTTCTGCCTCAATGAACAACGATTGCCTAAATTATAAAGTGCTCGAATAGCTCTCTTTTGCAGCACAAAAATGGTTTGAATGTCGGCAGCATTCCCCCACAGCAGAATACCGTACGACATTATGCTATGAAAGTAACTGAAGTAAACAAGTCGTGCTGTATCAACATCAGCATCAGTCTATATTCATCAGGTAATTTTATATCATATGTGTAATAAATACTACTAGTGAGTCAACTTGCCGAGCCCCTCCTTGCCAACTCATCTGCGGCATCCTTCCCGTGTGAGTTACTGTGCCCTTTAATCCATTGGAGGAGTACCCAATTGAATGTAGCGAGCTATTCCAGTGTTTGATGGCATTCGAGGCCACACATTCACATTGAAATATGGAACTGTGTTGGCCTAACGCTAGTGATATATTCATATTCTCGCAAGACCTAAGTCTTGCGAGAAAACTCCGGCTCCAGTTACTGACCTATTTGGATTGATCTCGGTCATTTCCATGGTGTTTTGGGATTATATCGCATGGAGCTGCTATCAGTGGTTCGTATTCCACCAATTGATCCCATAATTTGGAGTGGAGCAATGCTGGGGCACGATATGAAGGAGAGTGGAGTCCCCCTCCTGCCCCCGATGTCTGCGGTAGCACCGGCTGGCTTCGCTTGCCAACCGGTACGCCCGTTTAGGAGTGTCCACGCATCAGATGCGAGCGTTTTGTGTAACACAAGATTACACGCCATATTTTTATTATTTGACTAACTCACAGTAGTACTATTTTCTCTTTACCTTACTAATAAATATATAATAATATGAAGGAAAGAGCGTACAACTCTCGATGTATTTGATAGTTTAATATACATTTACATATAATTACAAAATACCTATATTATTGTCGGGTTACCAACCCGTTTGGCCAGCGTGGTAAAGTAGGCCTAAACCTCCTTTCTAAGGAGAGGCCTATGACCAGCAGTGGACTATTAAAGACTGTTGATGTGATGTGTGATGTGAATGATTAATAATACAGATTGTCACCACCCCCAATCATCCCGTGGGTCTCGTAAGAGCCGACTAAGGGAGCAAACTACGCAGGCAACAACACTGCAAAGAGAAGAAAAACTTGACACAAACCCTATACCAACCCGTCTGGCCAGCGTGGTTTAGTAGGCCAAAACCTTCTTTCTAAGGAGAGGCCTATGTCCAGCAGTCGACTGTTAAAGACTGTTGATGATGAATTACATATAATTTCATTTATATCGTAATGGAAAGTACATTTAAGCTGTTTTATATAATTTGTTTAAAGTTTCATCCAATATTTTAAAAGGAATAGGAACCCAAGGTACTGTACGGGTATAATATAGTTAAACTAGTTAAGTACTATTTTTACCTAGCAATCTATGATCGTGATTATTTTTGTGACAACATTTGTACATTTTTAGTCAAGACACTCTTGTAGTTATTTAGATATCTTTCAAAGGAGTTGGCTTCCTATTAGTGCATATTTGTTACACATGATTATAATCTGAATAAATGAGTTAAGAATAATAATAACCATGAAGAAATGGATAGTTTTAATAATATATTATACATATTAAGCAAAACAAGAAGGAAAATAGTCTGTACAGTCATTTCAAAAGGAATATCTATGTATGCAGGGCATGTGGTGGGGTTTGTCAGATTATACTGTACTTTATATGAAGTGTTTTGTTACTTATCATTATATAAAAAGGTTTATAACATTAAAAATGTTAGGAAAGTATAGTTTTATAAAAGAAACTATTTAATCGGTTACATAATCAATATCCACATCCATTGGAAAATATGTTTCTATACACTGTTGTCTTACCTGTTGCATAGCAGCTCTGACAAAGCCCTCATTAGCAGATACAGTTAAGGCTTTAATCCTGTGTCCAAAATTAAAAATAATTTTAGATCTTAATCGAACATGACCTCTCACTTTGAGATTTTTTCTGGGGTAATCATCTTCACCTGTACATATTTGATACCGTCATTTAACTAAGATATAATGTTACACAGTAACAATTTCTATACATTTATACCAACCACCAAAGTCATCTGGGTATACTGTAATGATTTGCTTCAGTTCCTTTGTCCTTTCAATCTCCTTTGGGCCTCCCAAGGTATTTACTATCTTCTCAAAGTCATTCCAAGCAGTTTCACAACAAACTAATGTTTTTTCTGAGAATATAATAATGTAATTTAAAGTAAAAAAATAGCCATCATATAACTTTTGAGTGAGTATTAACTATTGCAATTGAATAAAGAATGAAAAGGGATATTTCCTTGAGGTGCAAATCTCGAGTCATTCATATTCATTTCTCTAGATGCAATCTTTCGGTACACTGACTCTTACTATCACTGTCTCCTGCAATGCTTTTTGCATTGTGAATGTTACAGGGATGGCAAGATCTTTTCTACAAGAACCTGTTTTACTTTACCCAGCAATAGCCAAGTATATGTCAAGAAATAATATTTTATTTCAAATAAAATATTATTGTTAAAAAGAATAATAATATTTTTTTCAACTGAACTGGATGTAGTCCATACGATTTCAAGTAGTTAACTAAAACTTGTCACACTGACTTACAAAAAATGACTCTCTACCTAATTGCTAAATCAGACCTTGCACATTGTCTATCCATTCCATATTCTAAGTTTGCCATTGTACCTAAAGCATACTTTTTCTAAAATAAATCAGTCAAGTGAAATATTACCTTCAAATAATCTATCTAAAATAGGTTTAACTGGTCTCTCAGCTTCCCATGAACACTGTTGCGTTAATACTTCCTGTTTAAATATATAATTACAATGTCCATTCGTCATATTGCTCACAACAGCCATCATTGCAGTCACATCTAAGTTGAGTGTCTTGATTTCAGGATGTTCTTCAAAACTTTGGGACACCTTGTTCGATGAAATTTCATGACTGCTATATGAGAATGTTTTATTTTTATAAATAGAAAGTCTCTTTTTGTTTATTTTAATGGTGAGCTATAATCTTGAAATATATACTATCTAATATGAAAAGAATAATTAAAAACTGTTCAGTATCATAATTTAAGAAAAAAACTACATTTATTAACAATTTAGAAGTTTGCTTTTAGATTGGTTAAAAAAGTGTTTTTGTACTTCCTTGTACCCATGTTGTTGAAATCAGAGGTATATAACACAACACCCAAATTTTAGAAGCTGTTCCAAGTAATCAGTGGCCTGACCGAACCATTGGATAATATTATTCAATGAAGCAATCATTACTCTTAAAGTAGTTTAGAAATCTATAGAAGACTATGCAAAAGGCTAACCTTCTAATAAAATAAATTAACATGAAATCACCAACACAGTGTTCAATTGCCAATGTGTATGTACCAATCCATTTAATAGTATACATCATAGATGTTTTCACCAAATAAGGATAATGTTATAACAATGCAAAATAGGAAGTAGTGCATCCTAAGTATAAAGAATACTGCTAATAACTCACCTATTCTCGACTTTAACTAGAAGGCTCTCATTTTCACTGTCTTCGCTGTCATATGAATCACCATCATCGGCACAGGCATTTGAGCTAGGTAATATTTCACCTTTCACTGTAATACCAACAGCTTTTAATTTATTAGCTAAATTCTCCTCTATGCCACTCATAAACTCAAAAATGATCTAGAACAATTTACAAAAATATTAACTCATATCAGTAAGTGCAGTTTAATTTAGTAATAATATGTAGTAATTTGCAATAGGAATCAGGGTGATGCAATAATACGCTTTTGTTATTTAATTAAGTATACATGCCTTGGGTGGTTGATACATGCAAGGGTAGAGTTTAGCACAATCCAGATAATCTTCTGCCTGATCCAAAATCGATCTTGCGCCATATGAAGCTTTGCCTGCACTTAAGGCTGATAAAGATTTAGGATTTCTAGCTATAACTAAAACGAAAATTAACTATGATGAGTGTGACACAGAGTAAAATACAATAATTGCATATTTAGTTACCTTTAGTCCAAACTCTCCCTTCTTCGCTAATTATATCAATTACTAACTTCGACGCGTCGTTTATGTGAAAAATTTTGCAAACTGAAACGACATCTGGCCGTAGAGCACATTTAACCATTGCTCCTAAGTGGCGAAGATTAGAACAAGACAGTTGCTCTATTTTCACTTTTTTAGATTTTTGTAACTAAAACAGAAGCGCTTTTTTATTTCTTTGGTAATTCACGAAAATAATTTAATTAGTTTTAGTTACCTTCTTCAAAAACTCAATTTCTTGCCTAATTTTCCTTTGTAATTTCATTACACCATCTATTTCATTTATCGGCTCTAGTTTATCAATAAGGCTTTTTCCATAGTTAACTTTTTCGTTTACCATAGAAATCAATTCTTCAGAGGTTTCCATTTTACATTTGTATTTATTTACAAAATCGCTGTTCCCCATTCTGACAAACAAAAACGTACTTATTCCACGCTCCTAACAGACGGCCGTAATATTTGAAAGTCATGGGGACATATTCTCGGTAATATAACTGGCATTGAATTAGTAAGAAATCTACAGTGATACTAATGCATTGTACATCACTAAAGTAAATGCTTAAAATCCTATTTTTTTAATTTTTTGTTCGTGAAAAGTGAATTTGTACAGAAATAAAAATTACGCCATTATTTATATTGAATTTAATATAATGCAAACATAACAATAATTAAACAATACATTCGGTGATTAACAATGCTGACAATGGAAATGTGATAATAATTATTTCATTTTGAAATATACTAATATTTCTCCATTTCCGAAAATAAACTGAAAATAAGTTCGTTGACATCCGATTTGCCCGCCTTCTTACTGATTCGTTCCCGCTGTCACGTGACCATAACCTGAGGCGGCCAATCAAATCCCGATGCGTCTGGTCTAGTCTGGCCGACAACCACAATTTTGAGAAATGGCTGACGATAAAGAAGTTGAGAAAACTATTGCTGAAGACTTGGTTGTAACCAAGTATAAGCTAGCTGGGCAAATTGTTAATCGTAAGTCCATGTCTAATTAGTATCTTGTTAAAAAAATGTGTAAACTGAAACAATTCCATCGAACCTACGTAGGGCCTATGGACGCGTGTCATCGCCATGCGGACAATGCGATGTCGCTAGCCGTGCTAAATTATTCTTTTACCCTGGTTTATTTTAAACCCGATCACCACTTTATTTTACAGGTGTTTTGGAACAACTAATCGCAAAATGTGTTCCTAAAGCGTCTGCCAGAGAAATATGCGAATTTGGCGACAAACTTATATTAGAAGAGACCTCCAAGGTGTTCAAAAAGGAGAAGGACTCGAAGAAGGGAATAGCGTTTTCAACATGCGTGTCTGTGAACAACTGTATATGTCACTTCTCGCCCATCCCTAGCGAAAGTGATTACATTCTTAAGGAGGGTGATTTGGCCAAGATGTAAGTTGCAAATAGAAAACCAGCGAACTTTGTTCTGAAACTTTAAAGAACCATGTCGTCCCTTTGACTTTCAATATAGTGAAAGTAACGTTTACCTGTTAAAAAAGTAATTTAAACTTCAGAGGACTGGTTTTTACAAATTAATTTTGAAATGTATAAATAGCTTGAGGTTAGTTGTAATAACCTCATTGTTTGTTATCTCACTTATTCTTTATTTTGGATGCTATAGGTTTTTTTTATATAAGGTTAGTCCTAAAAGCCTGAGGTCTATACTTAAAGCCAGCAATACTGTTTAATACAGATACAATTTTTAACTATTAACTGTATTACAGTGACTTGGGTGCACACATAGATGGATTTATAGCGGTGGTTGCACACACAGTTGTCGTTGGCGGTGTAGAAGTCTCTGGACGCGCTGCAGATGTTCTTCTTGCTGCACATTATGCTAGTGAAGCTGCCCTAAGATTACTAAGACCTAATAATGAGGTAAACAAATATATTTTCCATAATCCAAATAATCCACAACAAATTAAACTAGGTATTTGTGTTTATCAATATTTTTAAAATAATAAGTGAAAAGTCTAAGTATTTAAAATCTCAAATATCCAAAGGGTGCAAACAGAAACCTATTACCAAGCCTTCTGTCTGTTAGCAGGCTTTATCTCAAAAACTGTAATGTAAAAGTTTAATAGAGAGTGTATTTCTGCTAAAACAACGAATAATTAAAGTAAACTCACAACAAACAAAAATTTGCCTTCTTTGTTAAATCTTATAATACACTTATAAGGGTGTTTATTACTGAAAAACAAATTTGTGCAGTGTAAATCTATGTTTTTGTCAGTACTTGTTAAACTTTTACAATTTTTTCTCATTTTTTGAAAACATTGTTGTTGTAACATACCTTCATTTTTTAGTTATAAAAATGAAAAAGTTTAGGTCTAAGGTCTAGTTTAGGTTTAATCTCAAAGTATCATAAACAATAGCAACAAAATATTTAAAAAAATGACTGTTTTAGAACTATGCAATAACTGATGCAGTGCAGAAAATTACTGCTGAATATGGCTGCAAGCCTGTGGAAGGAATGCTCTCACACCAACTTAAGCAGTTCCGCATCGATGGTGAGAAGAGCATCATTCAAAACCCTTCAGAAGCTCAACGTAAAGAGCATGAAAAGGCCACCTTAGAGACATATGAAGTTTATGCAATGGATGTTCTTGTTTCTACTGGAGAGGGGATTGTAAGTTTATTTTGGTATCAATGACATAAGTATAACTGAGCAATTTTTTTTTGTTAACTTGTTACATAGAAACTTCCTTAACATAAAAACATACCCTGAATTCTTTCCAGTTCATGTTTTTACATTTTCTGGCAGTACTCAGGGAACATTAAGTAGTAAAATTCTAACTGAAATTCCCACTGGTATTTTGGTTTATAATTACTAACATGCCTACATATTATCTTAATTTATTTATGAAATAATTAATATCATGAAATTTCTTTATACAGCATTTCTTATATTGCCATGTGCAAATTTTTCAGGGTCGGGAGATGGACACAAGGTGTACAATATACAAGAAAACTGATGAAATTTATCAATTAAAATTAAAAGCCTCAAGAATGTTCTACAGTGAGGTCAGTTACTGGCTACCTTTCAAATAAGGAACACTAGACTTTTAAAATTTAACAGAAATTTCATTATAAAAATTGTAGGACTGTCAACTTTACTCATTTTCTCATTTATATATGAATTTATAAATTGTGTTTGGTCCCTGGTGCTTCCAGAGTGTACAAAAGTGATTGCCCATGCAATGCCACTGTTACATGCTGGATAGAGTATAAAGTGATGTGTTTGAACCAGCCCGCCATCCATGGTGTGTTGGCATAGAACATTACAACAAAGAAGTATATGCTTTGGTAGTTCCTTCTCATGCTTAAAACTGTATAATATATTTATATAACTGTATAAATGTAGAGTAATAAAAGTTCATGAATGCTTGGTATGATGCATGTTTATTTGGGTTTAATGTGCGTAATGTGATGGGGGTTCATGCATTCAAGGTTATCCTGTAGATTGGTTTGAACTTAAACATTTTGCAGGTCCGCAATAAGCATGGTTCGATGCCTTTCAACTTACGCAGCTTCGATAAGGAGACTAGTGCAAGACTAGGAGTCGTTGAGTGTGTCAACCATAAACTTATTGAGCCCTTCCAGGTAAACTAAACAAGTATTTTTGCCCTCATTATACATAGGCTCCAAATTCAGTAAGGAATCTGTAATATTAAACCATATCACCATTTTTTCTAATTTCCTTGAGATCTTGCACTGAGCTATTAATAGCTTGAAATATATTAGACAATATAGTCTACTGTGGCTCACAGTAGACTATATTGGTGCTAATTCTGTTGTTCGAAAACTCTCTAAACTAAACTAAAAATCACTAAAAATTAATTTAGTCCTGTCAAGTACTATTTTTTCAAAATACGAAACGTTTTTTGGACAGGACTAAACTAATTTTTAATGATTTTTAGTTTAGTTTACGAGTAGAGAGATTTTGAACAACAGAATTAACACCATTATTTAACTTTCCTAAAAGAAGATATTATAAAAAGGTTGCCTTCACTACCTTGATTCGTTTTTAATTTTTTCACGTTATTATATTATTCTAAATGTAGAAAATGTGTGTAAATTAAACAAACCAAGGAGAGGCCTAAGTCCAGCAGTAGACTGTTAAGGACTGTGGATGTTGTTGATGATGTGTGTAATTTTTCATATCAAAATACTTCACCAAAAGATCAATAAAAAATCCATAAGACAAAATTTACAGTATTTTTCATTTCAAATAGGTGCTGTATGAACGTTCAGGTGAACTAGTGGCACAGTTCAAATTCACAGCACTGCTGCTTCCAAGTGGCACTCATCGTATCACCGGGCTGCCTTTTGACAAGAGCCACTGCAAGAGCGAACGCAGCATCAAGGATCCTGAACTGAATGTCAGTTTTTTAAATAGTTAAACTTATTATATGGTCTGAAATAGCACTGTCTTAGCACATCGCCAAAAACTAATCTCGAAATCAATACTCGAAATTATAATAATCTTTAGATTTCTCAGTAGCCATGAAGCAAAATAATAGTTATCAAACTTTAATGATGTTTAATTGTCATGTGCTAGAAAATGCTATTTAAAGATAATAGACTGGAAAGATAATAAAATACAAAACAAAAGCAATTAATCAGAAAGCAGAAAGTCAACATTGGGCAGTCTGTCTGATTTTGATTGATTGACTGCTGATCTCTCAGAAGAATAATAATATAGAATTACATTACAATGTAATTCTATGAAACTTATGCTCTATGTTGCTTGACTATTAATGTTATTTTAAAAACACAACATAGCCCTGTTATCTTTCAAAGCATACATGTAACTCATATGATTTGAACAAGCACAGGGTAAAATATCGTAATGTTTTTGAGCTGATTTGCAACTCTTAGCACTTCTGTTTGAACCATTACAACACTTGAAAAATGATTGTACACGTTGTTTTCGTATTTTACCTATACATTTTTTATTACAAATTAATCTCTTGATAACAGGCACTCCTCAATTCATCTGCGAAATCCAACAAGAAGAAGAAAAAGAAAACTGGCGCTGAAGAGCCTATGGAAGTTGAAACTGTTGCCTAGCAAATGGATTATTCGCCCAGGATATTATCATAAAGAAATCTACAGCTTTCCCTCAAAGTAACCTCTGAAATAATTTACATCTCATAAGCCTATAAGCAACATGTGGCTAAAAAGGTTTGATGGTATCACTACTTTATAAATCAGTAGAAAAATTGGGCTTGATTCGGAATAAAGGTTGAAATATAAAACAGATATAGGTACAAAAACGCCTAATGTGGGGTTTGCAAATAATAGTGATGCATACATATTGTATGCTAGTTTTATCTTATCAACTAACAACACCTCTTTCATTTGCTTACAGTACTACTTGCTTAATTTGAACCACTTGTACATAATTATTATGTTTGCCAACTTGACTGAGATGTTATTTCTACTTGAAAAATAAATAGAACAGACATTTTGTATAGACCATTCCTTTTAAATGTATTTGTCATTGTGAAATGCACGAAATTGTTTTTCATGTATAAAAACTACTATCACTAAAAGCAGTTTTGTAACATTTGAAATGTTGAATAACAATTTTATTTACATTTATTACAAGACTTACACATTCATCTGAAGTTTTTTCCTTGTTATTCATGATTACGTCATATGCTACATAAGTATATTAACACAGCCAAGCTTTATTTACATTCAACAACAGTAACAATTGCTTATACAAATGATTGAACTTACATTGTAATGACGAAAATTAATTTATTTAAATAATTCATGTTGTCATAAAAAAAATCTGTAATGAATGATATTAAAATAAAATTTCTAATGTTGTGTTAAAAGCAATAAATATAAGCTTGGAAATGTTTGCATGTTTGTGGAGCAGACCCTTTTTCTAGGTAAAGTTGTAAAATAGGTGACACTGAGAAAGGAATAAATCAAACTGTGCCACAATTGTGGGCTGTTTTTTGTAAACTTGCTTTTTATTTTCTTAAGTTTTTTGGCCTGCCATTGTTTAATCCATCCAATCGATACGACGATGCATTTATGCTTTGGGGTGAAAGAGTTAATATAAGTAACTCGTAACGCAAATAAATAATGTAGTATCGTGAATTCAGATTTTAGCCGTAAGCTGTAATTGTATACAAAGCCAAACAGAAAATTCATCTTAGCCTTTTCCCAAATTTATTTGGGATCGGTGCAATTAATTTCCTTTCATTCTCCTTGATCACGGGACGCCCTCTATCATGCACTCCTTTATTTCATTTCGAAATGGATTTTGGCGTTTTATTTTATGGCCAGTCGTTTGCCTTATTATTATACGTGCATGTTATTAAAGTAAAAGCGACAAAGAGGTAATTTAGTGCGATTTTGTGTAGATTGTGAGGAGTTTTGCCAGTCAAACTTAACATGACTTATTAAATTATTTACATATATAAACTAACATACAATACACGAGTGATCACCTGCCCTGTTAAAATTTTACTTCAACGACTTTCAATTGACTCTCACCGATCAAAGCCACCTAGTAGGGTGCGGAAATGCTACAGAAAAGGCTTGTACGACGTGCAGTGCGGAAATAGGTACAGCCAGGCACATACTGGCAGGTTGTAAGGCTCTATGAGACCGGCATCATTGTTCACATCGCCATGGTAGGGTGTTACAAATCATACGCGAAGCTATCACATATCTAGCATACCTTCATACATAGCATGTCTAAGTTGTGTGCGTTACCACAGCAAAATAATGTCGAAAATGGTCATTTAAACTTTATAGATAATTAGTTGCTCCCCTTCTGTAATTGTTAAGCACATTTTTAAATTTGTTTCACTTAAACTTTTTTAGTTATTTCAAAAAAACATTTCCTGCTGGAGTAACGTTTGAAACGTTACCGCAGCCAGACATTTTCTTTTTTAATTGTAATATTGAAATAAATTTTAGCTAAATAATTAGTTATCTGGACTAGGTAAATGTTACAACTTATTTGGTATTTGTATTTTCTTCGGCTGCGAAGTTATTCGAAATCCTGATGGAGTAACTTTTGTGGGTTTGCTGGATCTCTGAAACGGGTAAGCGGATTGTAACCATCTTTTGTACATAACTTCTTAAGGATTAGTTTTAATTTGTTCGACAATAAAATAACAAAAATAATGGACCGTTTAAAAATATTTAGGTCAGTATGAAAACACTTCAATACGTCCTAACACTTTAAATAAGACCTCTAAAGACTTACTTGAAACGTTATTCTATTGCTTGTAACTACCTTCAAATGTATACGAATTTTCGTAAGAATACTGTAAGTGACTAAAAAGTTATGATGAAATGTAGCTCTCCACGTTCACGATCACAATGTGTGCGGCCTTTTTTGGCCACCGATAAACCTGTGTGTGGATATATAAACTGAATGTTATGCCAATAATTAGTTGTTTAGTTCAGTTGTCTACCTGTAAAATTTCAGCGTAGTACATATAATAATTTACGAGATAATTAAATAAAAGTCATTAGAAGGTGCAAGACCGTGGTAACCCGACCATGTTTAGGTGGTTACAAAAAAGCGATCACCCAGTACATTTTTTTTTTTCTAAAAAAGACAACTCCCGCATTAGGAATAAATCCTGTGTCGCGGGGGACTTTACAAACATACATGAAACGGACACAAAGAACACCCAGACTCAGAACAACAATTTGTGGATCACACAAAGTGTCGTCCCATGTGGGGTTTGAACCCACAACACTCGGCGTAGTAGGAAGCGGCGTGGCGACCGCTTAAACCACTACGCCATCCGTGCAGTCAAAAAGCATTCAAAAAAACATTGTGCTGGCTTTTAAAATGTTGAGTGTAATACACCTTACCATTTCGGTACAGTTGCGTACAGTGTTAAATACATTCAATATTTATTCATGATTATTACCTATTACCTGTCGAGAGCGAAAAAAGGAAAAAGAATCGAGAGAGAAGAAACATCGAGTTAAAGTAAGGCTCAACAAAAAAGACTTCACAAAAGCAGTACTCAATTATAAATACCGCCAGAGATTGGATATTATTAGTGAACACGTACGAAAATTGTTACAGAATACCGAAGAATATCTGTACCTTGGCATCCAGACATATTTCTTTATGCACTGTCAATTAAGCGTGTAGTACCTACTAGTAAAACTCACAATATCGTGGAAAACAAACATCCTTAAAGACCACGTTTTAAAAAGAAACAACTACTCTGACTTAACCAACGAAATAAAATGGGTGCGATGAGTTTACCAGCTAAATCCCTCTATTTTTTGTTTTTTTTTTAGACAAGCATACATTACAATTATAAGTAGCATACATTTCAATTATTGGCACAGAACAAAGCAAACAAATAATCCACAATTTACATGAGCGGCTAATACTTAAAATAGATAATCCTGAGCCATAAGTATCAGCAATCCTTCAGAGACACATGGCAGTTACATAATGTTTATCCCTCAGTAGTAAAAACCAATAATTGTACGCTTAAACAAAATATGAATTGAATTACAGATCAATTTTAACAGTTAATTTAAATAAAAAGAAATTTGTAAACCTTACACCGTGTGTATGTGTGATGAATGAGTCGTGCGTGACTAACTTTCTACAGAATTGGATGTAGAAGATTCTCCGTATCTTAATACGATAATTTTATATTCATATTTATTTTTGTAAATTATTTTAATTCCTTTTTAATTTTGCCAACAAAGCCTCCAATGAAACAAAGAAAATGAACCGTGAAAGTTTATACCTACGTTGTACTACCATGTGTTGGGGGATGACTTAGATACGTTTGAACTTTTTAGATGCAAATGTTGCCTCAACATCGTCTGCAATATTATTTGGTTTAGACCTGTCTGCGCTGTGCGCATCAGCAAAAGCTTGTTCCCACGTTTACCCTGTGAAAATAAGTGCCGTATCATTTGCATTTGCGAATAGCTTGCCGTTTCTTAACTGAATTTTATATATATCATTCACATAAGAGAATGTAAGAAGGAATTAAGGAAGAGCGTTGCACCTAGTATATTTCTTTGGGGCACGCCGTGTTCTATTGGTAAATGGCCACTTAGATTTCCATCTATCTTCACGCACTGCTATCAGTTCCTTAAGTAATTTTGTAATAGCTGTAGTTTCCTTTCTGTGACACCGATTCTTTCGAGTTTTAAATTTAGTATAGGAACAGAGATCGTGTCAATTGCTTTTGCTAGATCCAAGAAAAATGCATACACATTTATCACCCTTATCCAATGTTTCCACAACATGATTGGTGAGGTCATTAACAGTGTCGTTGGTATTGAAATATTGCTACGAAAGTCATATTAGTTGGTATAAAGTTTTTAGAGGGAATATTTTTGGTTTCAAGATAGTTTTTTAGACGTCTGTTCATAATTCTCTCCAAAATTTCAGATAATGCAGGTATTACAGAAATAGGTCTATAATTAATAACACGATCTCTGTCCCCAGACTTAAATATGGGATGAATAACAGCCCTCTTTAGCAAAAATGTGGAAAGACTCCATGTTGTATACGACTCCATATGTACTTCTTTTATAACATTCCATATGTTTATGGGATTAGATTTAGCTTTCCTTATTTCATTGCTTTCATATTCCCTTTCCAGGTTTTTGAGCATTGTGTTGTGTTTCTGTAGGTACGAGTATCTCTTAAAAGTGGTTTTTAAAATTTTATTATTAGGATCACGTTTCGTTTTTTTTACATTCTATCCCTATTCTTCATGCATCTCAGACCAGCTGGAGTTATCCATGGCTTTATTATTTTAAAGCTTTAGTGAATGAATTAATAAAGCAATCAAGAGCGACATTTGCATCCGTACACTCATATTCGTTTATGAGTAAGTACGAGTGTACACTCATATACGAGTTTTAGTAAGCTCTTTGAAAGAATATCCAAAGCGGTATGCTAGGCTCGTATCGAATATGGTTTGGTAGAGGGGGTAACACAACACAAAGTTAAAGTGAGCGCTGACGCCTCGCAAGAAGTACCTACTCCCTAAACCTATACCTATGTGTTGCCCTCATCTATCACGCGATGGGCCCGG